TGATGTTTGATGGGAAAAAATGGAACTCAGCTGTGGCACTTAACTTAATCTGTCATATTAAGTTATGACAGAGTTATTAAATCCTTTGTTGGCATAATAACAGTCTATATCTTAAATGATCAATTGTGGAAAACAGTTTTTTCATCACAAAGGTAACTGAGTGCCACACGTCGCATTCAATTTTTCTGATTCTGGTGGCAGTTCGGTGGTCAAACATCTGTGAACAGAAATGTCGGGAATTGTTTGGTACCGCTTTTTAAACGCGGATGATTTAGAAATATATAACAGGAGCATTGGCAGTGATGCAACCACAGCAGCACCACTCAGAATGAAAGAAGAAAAACAATGAAACTTTACCGTATGTAGTGAGATAAAGCATAACCAAACAAAAGTGCACAAAGCCTCAAATGTGTGTCAACTGTGTCAGCATCAGAGTGCAGGTGTAAAGAAGGCCTACTTAGTGGACTTTTTCTGTGTCCATATCATTATCTAGACAGAAAAGCTCGGACTTGTGTGATCCGAATAGTATGAGGTACACTCATCCAGCCACACACACCACAGAGAGACTCAGTGTGGGAAAGAAGAACAAAAATCCAACATTCAACAAGTGTTTACTTACATTTGAATGTGAATTGTGTCTCAAATGAGCAGACTGTGATGTAGTGACTTGGCTTCCAGAAATGATCGAAGCTTGGCTGTTTCGGGGCGATTGAATTACACAAACAGACTCTGTCTTTAAAGCCACATCATTCCTAAGATGTGGATTGTTAAAATGATCAAGGTTATTTGATTTCTCCTGCGAAAAGCCTATTTAATTTGGGAGGTGCTAAATATGACTCAAACATTCTTTTTCTTGTGTAACTTCAGATGTCTGTGAATAAAATGAACGAGACCAAATGTATACAAGGATTAATACGGCTCCTTCAATTTGTGGCTAATGCACAGTGACTGTGACAAACGGTGTCCTTTACAGGCAGATTTGTCTTTTTATGATGAAGTTAACGACACTCCTGTAGATTCTGACACAATGGTTTCAGTTTTTTTTTTCAAAAGGATAATGGTAATTAATTTCTTAAATTACTAAAACAAAGTATTTCATAATGCCAAAAGTCTTAACTGGATCATCTGAATCATACATTAACTCAACTTTGTACTTGGTCGCTCCACTTTATTACTCTGATTAGTTATAGCTACTCTGTGATGGATGTGGATCTAGATAGTTCATCCAATATATCCCCCACATACTTTTTGAAAGAGACATTTCTAACTGCTCAAACATCAAGTTTGAAATGTCTGGTAGACAGTCAAAAATCACTGAATCATACATTTTCAGGTTTGTTGGGCCACCGTCCAGCATGTTTTAGATTATTCCAAGTTTAAAGACAGCTGAGTAAAATTAAATGGCGCCCCTTAATTTCAATATATACAGAGGTGGATTTTTGCCGAGCATGTTAACCTCACAACAGGTAGAAGTGTGGTCAGAAAAAAATGTTACCTTGAAGCTAACAAGCTTTTCCCATTAAGTGAGAGTGCATGGAAATGAGTCCTGGTCAAGTTTTCACAACCTGTACTTGCGTGCCTGCTGCTTTTCCACACACACAGTGTTCCAGAGCCTACTTTTGTGTTGCAATCTTCCTCAGTGATGGTGATGATGCATGTCATTTAATTGAGTGCGTTTGTTGCCTTTTTTGGCAGCTTGGTTGTTCGTTGACCTCTGTGATGGCCAAACAAGACCAAAATAGTCAGAGAATCTGAATCATTGCCTTTTGATTAATAACATCTTACTTAAAGAAGATGTTTAGTGTTTATTTGTTGTATTCATGATCAATACGTCCAGTTTTTCCGGTCACATGAACACTGGTCTGGTTGTTCTTTGTCCGCTACATGAGCTGAGGGATACAGTGCCACAGCTCCAGGTGTTTTATGTCTGAGTGTGCCCCGAGTTAAGTTCTGCAGGGCTGTCAACTTTTCTGTGAAACAACTCTGTCCTGTGACCGTTCAGCCTCTCAGCAGGGGTTACTATGGTAACCCAGCTAGCAAAATGAAACTGGCATTCCTAGCATTATTTCGCCATGTTCTGATGTGTGTGTCTGTGTGTGTGTGTGTGTGTGTAATCTAATAAAGACAACCAGCACCAAACAGAGGAACATTCCTGTCTTTGGGGAAGTTCCCTTCTTTCATTTACTTCACCGTTCCCCATAAACACGTATTATTTGTATCGCCTTTCTTGCTGCTGAAAGGTAATTTGGTCTCAACTCAGCAGTTTTTGGAGGACGGCAACAATTTGGTGCCGGTGCACATATTTTCATGCCAAACACAAGAGTGACAACAGCCGATCCCTGATGCTAATTGTCATCAGCTGTCATTTGAAACAGGAGGGTGTTTGCATCTGTTAATTTGATCCTCGTAAATTAGGTTTAATTCGTATGTGACATTCACTTAGAGGCAGCTGTGTTGTTGTGTGCAGGGCTGAGTGTGTGCATGTGAGATGCTTACACTGTGCAAATGTAGCACTTCAAACTGCAATCCAGGGCTGGGGGTTGATAGAAAGTTCCTGTAAATTGACTGTTTCAGTTGTGTGTTTTTAACACAATTAACACTTTATAGCCCCACACATATTTCAGATTTTGGCAGAAACAAACAAACCAAAGCACTTACCCAAGAGCAGCATTTTTAAAAAACAATTATTAAAATGATTCATTTATTTATTTATTCAAAATCAAACTGATTCAGATCGCAGATTGATGCTTTTCTCTTGAATTACACTGTAAGTTCAAACAACTTCGTTGGCTATACTGTTTGCTTGTTCTTTGTTCAATCTAAAGCCTTTGCATCTGTGCAAAGAGTATTTTGAGAAAACTAAGAACATGCGACTGATTTGCGCCAAATTAGTGGGAGAAACTCCCAGTAGAAGCTGTTTGTCTGTTGATGTTGACCTGGTGCTTTTAAATGAAACATGTGCTCCAAGCAGAACGAAAACCAGCACGCTGTTGTCTCACCCTTTTCCTTTTAAAAAAAAAAGAGAGGTGTTTCAACTTCACAGCTAAAGTCAATAACCAAAAAAAACAGCGCTGGGAGAGCGCCTGAAGTTAAATATTAAAATATTAATGACCACATCAGTAACTGATGAAAGCCATCCAAGACAAAAAGAGCAAATAATCAGTACTTGAAATAACTGTTAAGACATCAGTCAGACAGTTTCCAGCAGTTCTTCTGTTCACACTGATTGCACTGAACCTTAAATTTAGTTCTGATAAGTCTCCACTTACTTTATTAGAGAGTGAAAATGACTGTGTTACTGTGTGATTTTTAGTTTAGTTGCCTCCACTAACTGTCAGGCACGATCAAATTTGGACGCAAAACTGCAGTATTGTGTGTAAGGAGCATTGATCAAAACAATTTCCAAAAGGAGACAAGTTGCCTTTAGCAGAACCTTGGTGGTTATAATGTATTATATGTTTGCATGTTTTCCCATTTTAAAAAGTTAGTCTGTCACAGACAATTGTTCTGCCTCACACACACACACACACACAGAGCAATACACATTCCAAATTTCACCCTCTGGTGGTACCCCACAGTGCCCCTGGGATCCCTTTAGATGCCAAACACCAAACATGGCCTTTCTGGGACGTTGTAGTTAAGATTATTTATAGGGCTCTGTGCTGCTGGCAGAGCTCCCCAAGCAAAGACAGGAGAAAAAATAATCCTCCTTTGACTGTCTTTGTGGCTCCTTCATGTGTGTGTTAGTTTGAAAGCAGTAAGGGAGGGAAAGAGACAGTGTGGTGATAACGGCACCACAGGGTTTGGCTTGTGGCTTCTGCTGATATTTGTTAGTCATGCTGGGGACCGGAATATTTTCAGAATCTCCTCTGAGACCCCCCAAAATAATACCTTTGACATATTCCGAGATGGTTTCACAGACTCTTCTTGTGGTTTTCCTATCGCTCTGTCTGTAACTACCCCACCCACACACACAGTCAGCTTGTCACAATTAATAATCCACCCCATCACAGGAGAATGATGGATGGATTATAACAACGGGTTACAAGTTTTTCCACTTTTTTCAGCTTTTTTTGGCCACACACCAATTGACCATGGGCATCCGTAGTCCTCATAAATTTAAAAAAAAAAAAGTTTCCTGTTGAGCCAGACTAAATGAACATGTCATGAAAATCTAATTTCTAATATAACCCAGAGTGTTTTTTTATTTGCTGAAAATATTACCCGTCATTATTTCTTCCCCCCGTCTTTCTTGAGAATATTTCCTTTTTTTTATTTTCTTAGCAGCTCATATCCACATCATGATTCACTGTTGGGGTGGACAGCTGAGTCATGTTTCAGTTTCTCTGAGCTCCTGCTGTGAGTTACTGGAGCTCTAAATTGGAGGCTATCTCTTAAAACTGTCTAGTTTGACTAGGTTTCTAAAAGATCATTTAAAATATGGGATATAAGCTTTATTGTAGATGAGAGAACAGCTCTGTGGATTGCTTTTGATCTAAAGTTTACCCCAAAATTAGGCATCAAGATTCTAGGGGGAACGTTGAATATCACCCCAAAAAACTTTTTTTTTTGTTTGGAAACGCTACATTGACGGATGGAATTGCTCATCTTCTGAGTTAAGGAAATGGTCTCCAAATATGGAGTTACGCAATTAAAATAATCCTATAATGTGAGCAAAAATTGACGCAATAGTCATTTTTTTATTCTTGGTTAATTTAATACCTGAGGATAATCAAGAATAATGAAAGTGAGATGCAGCGATTGACGGCTAAAATTAATTTGGGACAGAAACATAATCTGAGGCTTCCTCTTTTAGCAGATGTAGCTAGAGATTAAACGCAAAGCATCATCTCAGTAAGTCTACAGTTTTTTCCCTTAAGAAACCTTGTAAGAGACAGCTTCTTTTTTGTGTCATTTTCAGAGAGCAGTCTTTCTTTTCAGAGAGCAGCATTATGTGTGGGTTTGTTTAGAAAGAGTTAAAAGCAGTGATTCACCTTCTAATGTGGTTCTTTATTTTTCCCCTGTCGTCACAGGACATGAGAAAACATGTGATGATGACCCTACTGGACACCGAGCAGTCGTACGTGGAGTCTCTACGAACTCTCATTCAGGTAACGCTCGACTGCACTCACAGAGAGTTTTCACTCATTTGCAGCCTTCCCGCTGTTGTTCACAGCTAGAGTCTAACTTTGTTGTTCAGCAGCAATCAGACAAAAGCAAATGCAAGCACACACACAAACACACGCACACACACGAGAAAAAACCTCCAACAATTTTTGAATCGCAGACTGCTGAGGCCATGAAAACCAAACGCAGGTAGATGTTATGTAATCCACTTATGACCATTTATCCTGCCAAGCTAATCTGCTAACCTTATCACATCTCACTGTCATCAGCATTATCTGCCCCCACACACACACACACACACACACACACACTCCACATGCACACACACTCTCTCCTATATCTTACACCTGTCTGTGCTTTATTAGATAACCAAACTTTCCCCCAGATCTTAGCCCCGCCCGTCTGTCCCTCGTACACATTCACACCATCTGCTCCTCACACATATTGTCATCACCTTGTTGTGTAACCTGGCAGTCTGTTGTGTGACGGTGATCAGTGCGTTTGTGTGTCTGTGTATGCGTGGTTCCGCACATTCTTCGAAAAGGTGCGTGTGTTTAGAGACCCTCGTGTACAGTCCACATGCGCACTGCTTGTGCTCGCCGCCTGTGCGTGTGTGTCTGTGTGACCACAAAGTGAATAATCCTGGACTGTGTTCCCATGACGACACGGGGGAAAGTAAGTGTTACCACGGTGACTGCTGGGAGAGTGCAGATCCTTGAGGGAGGGTGTCAGATGTGGTTCAGCTTAGGCTGCTCAGCAGCACTGCTGTCCAGGGTTAAAATCCCACTCTCCTTTTTCAGGGGGCCTCTGTAATGTATTCAGTTTAATAATATAGTTACATCAAATTGGACTAGATGGCTCCTCGGACATGAATAATTTCTAATGGCTTTTATTATTAAAGCGTCGTTCATTGAATTTCTTAAACTCTACATTTAGTCTCTCAATGGGTCTTCCTTTGATAAAACGTTAAAGGAATTGGGTGCGTTTTGCTGGCACATCTGTCACAGCTGGACCAGCACATCACTATCAACGTTTCCCTGCATGGGGACACGCGTAACCTGTCCCCTTTGCTTTTCCCGCAAACATGCAGGAAAAGGCATTGTCATGTCTTTTAATCTAAACAAAAAGTTGAACGGGAAAAAAAAAGATTTTCCAATGTGGAAACTTGGGCAATAGCTGTAAAAAGAAATATCGCCATGGCATGCATCCAACATTCAGTGATTACAAGACCTTCAGCTTCTTATGTTGCATAGGTCGCTACTTGTCACAGCACGGACTCAAAATCGGGGAAAACCTCAGCAACACTTGTTAAGCAAACATCAATTTCACCCTACTTATGCCTTCATCTCAGTTTTGACATGATATGGCATTAAAAGAACGTGTGGGTTTTTCCCTTTTTTCAAATGTTTCGGAATATTGTAAAATTCACAGAGTGCATGAAAACTCAGGCTTTCCTTTTCAGATTGTTGTGATTTAGATCTTGGTCTTTAATCTTGGTCTGCAAATTAAATTTTAGTCAGAGATCATGTAAAGAAAAGAGAAGTATGCATTCTGAGTTCAACTGAACAAGATTTTGTTTGGCATTATTTATTACATGTAAAGATCTGTAACAAATATCAATAAGAAACACAGTAATGTCAGTCCACTGGGCATCTATTGATCACAGCTTCTCATGTAACTGTGGTGCATAGAGCTCTAGGTACAAGAAGCTAAAACTTTGAACTGGCTTTGTAAATTAGTTTCTCTGAGCTGGCATGGGGCTACTCTACCCCCCTCTGTGCCGAACATCATGTATCCCCCCCAAAAAACTCAAGTTTTTTTCAAACTTGAAAAGAAAAAAAAAGTAACTCTACTCATCTAAAACTTTATCTGTTTTCCAGTCAGCAAATCAAAAATCAGTCAGTCTTTTATACCTACTCTTTTCAAAGTTCCTTATGTGTCTGCTGAGTGGAGGTGAAGAAGAACCACACTGTGAAACAGTTGATATCAAAGTACAAATAGGCATAAATAAAGCCCTAACTGACCAGTATTGAGCCAAACTGGAGGGGTTCCACAGGTACAGCTCAGTTTCAATCTTTCATGCATTCCTAGACCCCCCACAGACTGATGTGAAGCTGGTTTATGTCTGCATGACAGTGCTCAGACCATCGTAGACCAATATGGGATGTATAGTATACTACGTTATGAGGCTCCCGGTGACCTATTTAGAGATCACACATCACCCTCTCTCCTTCTCACCTCCCAGTCCTGACACTCTCTGGAAATCCCTGCCAGTTTCTGAGTTTTTATGTAACGCATTCTCAGGCAGAACAAGCAGAATCAGTGCTGCATTAAAAATATCTCAAACTCTTCTTTGTTCCTTCTTTAATTGGTACAAATATTTGTAATCGTCAGATTGAATTAGTCATTAAACATGTCATGAAGTCAGGGCACTCTGCCACACACTAATGTCTGGACCGCTACCTATTCTGGAGCCCTGGTGTCACATCCATTTGAGATAATTTAAGGGTAAATTCATTTTCCTAATTGCTCTCAGGGTCACAGTGTTTTGCTCTAATGTTAAAGCACCTAAGTCAAGCTCCTTAGGACACTTTCAAATGCAAAATGGAGAAGTTGAAGGGATAAAAAAAATGGTGAAATGAAAAAGATGGCCTTAGATATCTGAAATGTAACCTGTTGATCCCCTGCAGCTTTGACTATCATTCGATATGATTTTTGGAGAAATACTAGATAGATTCTCAATTAATTATCAATTATGTTAACATAGTTTTAAAAAAAAAACAAGGGAGTCGGAATTCAGGAACATTTTAGTTTTGTGTCATGGATGATTACAGCAAATACAATCATGTATTACCTCATTTGCATATTGTATTTCCTGTTTACATGTTGATGACTGTTGGAAAATTGTTGCCTCTTTATAAGAGGTTAGCTGGGGATTTTCTTTGCTTTGACTATTGATCAAAAATGCATGTAGCTTTACAACAAAGTATTTCATTGCCATCTCAAAAGTGCACTTCTGTAGCACTTACTCATACCAGCTTTCTGGCATTATCCCCACATCTGTTCATATTGATCGGTTATGTTCAGTTTGGTCTGACAGTTATTTTTTCATAAAATGGTGATTTGTCATCATTGGATAATTGGCACTTTTTCTGGTGTGCAACCAGCTTCAGGTCTGCTCTGTGATACTGTGATACTGTGAGAACACACGCAGACAAACAGTTCTTACAGGCGTTTTCTGATCATAGGAGCATATCTGTGGTCCTGCTGTGAAGGAGTGGCAGTTATGGGAAAAGAGAGAGCCTTTTATCTTTTTCCAGTAAAGGCCAACACATTCTGTTCCCTATCACCTTGTAGAAGCTGAGAACACACAATATCTGGGAACACAACAGAACATTGGAGAAAGCAATAACATCGGCAGAAAAAATATGGTGTTCAATTGTGACCTTAATAGACAAACACTTTTTGATGATTGGACATTCTACTGCATCTGACCCTCGTTAGATCTTTGGCTTACCTCCTCTGTCACTGCCACTTTAACACCCCTTAAAATCACCTATAATCACAATATCTAAATTCTATACTGCAGCAATGTGATGATTGAATGATTAAAAATGTATGCCTTCACTGCATGCTGATGAAGAACAATAAAAACTGCAAACATTTTTAAGGAGTGTCATGAGTTTTAGCTCCTCCGTCATAAGCTGGTGTTCTTGTCTTCTCAGGGATACATGCGTCCTCTCAAACAGCCCGACGGCGGCTCCATTGTGGATCCTCTGCTGGTGGATGAGATGTTCTACCAGATCCCAGAGATCCTTGAGCACCACGAGCACTTCCTGGACCAGGTTTCCGGCTGTGTCGGACAGTGGCACGACAGGCAGACTATTGGCGACATCCTCATTCAGTCGGTACGTAGGAGTGATGGAACTTAACCTCTGCCAGCAAGTGACGATCGCCTTACTTATCTTAAGGGGCCTGAAAGAGACTCTGTAATCATAAGAACAAATTAAAACATCATACAACAACTTTTAGATGGATTCAAGCTGAAAAACGGACAAACTGCAGTTTAAACAATTTGAAAATTACCCTCTCTCCCATACACAGTAGAATCCCTCAACCGTTGTTCAAATGGGATATCTTTGTGTGGTTGCTTCAGTTTCATTGATCATCAAGGATTATTTGAAAAAAATATATATAATATTTGAGTCCAAGGCAGATCAAACAATGACTTTGGCATAAATTATGGTTTTTAAAGATGGCATGACATTTATTTTACTGGAGACGTCAGCTCGACTTGACGAGCAGTTGTTTTTGTGGAAGGAGGCTGTTTTGAGTGGAGACTGGCGGCAGTAGTTTCACATTTTGTTTTCCCAGTGACCATTTGGTGCCCCTTTTAAAGATTTCCCATGACCCGAGAGTGGCTTTCAACCTAGACTTTAACCAACACAGTTCCAGAGAACCAGTGTTGGGCTAAATGTTGTATTTTTACATCCGAGAATGACAAAGAAACCAAACATATTTAAACACAAACGCTGAACAAACTGTGAAATAAGATTTCACTTTCCCTGGTAAAATCCATTTCCTGGTAAAATCCTTTTCCTGGAGTAGTTCTTGAGTGAATGTTCACAAACTAATTCACAGTAAATGAATCAGAACTAAGTCAGAATGTACTCATTGTGGGGTTTTTTTCTTTAGAAGCTGGTGGTTCTTGTAAGGAGAAAAGATGAGACATAAGAATTAGGACAGGGGTAGAAAATAGCATCATGTACTTACTTGTAGAAACTTAAGCATAGCAGTTTTTTTTTTTAATGTTCACCAGAGAGTGTTTCTTCACTCTGCTCTTTGTCAGCATCCCTCCCCCATACGTCTGCCTCCTTGAATTCCAGGACTGCCGGTATTTACAGGGCAGCTGCAGCAATGGGTGGCGGGCCTCGTTGGCGCTACCTGGCTGGCGTTAGTCTCTCCTCCAGTAGGCTTCGCCCCTCTCCCTTCTCACATTGAACTTTTAGCCAATGTCGCACTGCCTCACAATGCGGCTGAGCATATCAACGTCCAAGCCAACAATGGAAATGGGCAAATCAATGTGACGATATATGAGCCTACTGACGTCCGAACTAACAATGAAAATGGGCCAATCAAGGTGAGGCCTTATTTGGAGCTTATTAATTGCATTATTCTTACAATTTTACGTGCACACAGCCAATATAGAGGGCAAATTTCCTGTCCCTCTGTTGAAACTCTAACCAAATAGCATTGGATGGAACAAATTCAAAGGAAAAAATAAATATGTACACCTTTGAACTTTCCTGAATAACTTTTTGTGTTATTTATATAGTTATTGCTGTGTCAGACCTCTCAACCTTTTAATTTATTACACAGAGGATTATTAATACTAGGGGTTAAAAACACCCCCCCAGCGGACTATTGTTCCTCAGTGGGCAGCGCATAATCTGAAGGTCTGGAGTTCCAACCTCACACTGGGTAGTTTTTTGTTCTGATCTGTAGCTGCTGGAACAGTAGAAATGCAGGATCCTTGTTTTCTAAATTTTCTTTGATTTGTGCTCTTTTTCTGTTCTTGTGGAAGACAAAAAATCATGTGTATGGGGCCACACACAAAAACAAATAAACTCTCTATTCTACTCTGCAGCCATAGGGCCTAGACACAGCATGTCATATCATAAGTGGTGAACGACACCAGTAAAGCCATTCTAAATTTGAATGCCCTCTTAGGCGAAAATCTTCTTGATTCAGTTTACAGACTAATATGCTTAGGAAATAAAAGTTGTCAGACTTTTTCAGGGATCAAAAGATGAAGTTCTGGATTTATGCCAATTCCATGCCAACATTTATCACCGCATAGAAAGAGACACTGAGGGCTCAAAGTTCATTTGTCACACCGTGAAATCCTGATTCAGAGAGAGCTCCCAGCTTAATGGCCAGTCACTTAGGGACACAGGAAAGAAACACCCATGTAACATAAAAAGAAAGCTGTAATGAAAAAATAAACAAACAACAACTAATGTTCATCCTATGGCAAATCACCATAACAATATTTTCTGTTGACATGAATATCTTGCAAACATCAGTGAATTAAAAAGTTCATTACATCCTATGGCAAATAACCATAACAATATTTTCTGTTGACATGAATATCTTGCAAACATCAGTGAATTAAAAAGTTCATTACAAATCACTGAGCTAACTATGTCTCTTATCTGTGCTTAATCTTAAAGAAGTTTAATCTTCTTGTTGGTATGTACATCTTAATCAAAATTAGGAAGGGAATCAGCGACCCCCGCCATGAGCGGGAATTGCCAAAGCAGAATATTATGATTTACAGTTGTGCATTCCTCATCTTTTTGCTATTTTTGTTCTCTGCTGCACTGAAGAGGATGGGGGACAGGTAGAGGAGAGGACAGCGGGGCATAAATCTGAGAGCAGGGAAGCAGAAAGTCAGTGAGAGCTGCAAGAGGTGCTGATTCCATCAAGGGACAGAGAGTCATTTTTCCTCTGTTACGTTAAAAATGGTCTTTAACCCTCCCTCTGATGCCTTCTGTGAGAAAAGAAATCAGGTCAGGATGAGTCATGCAGGTTTATGTGGTTGTGTGAGAGGGGGGGAAAAAAAGAAAGATGGATAGATTTACAAAATCGATTTTGGATTCCATTAAAAAAACAAAAAGTTTAATCTGGGGCATTTTTTATATGAAATCCTCATTTTCTAAAAGTAATAAGAATGAATAAATCTTCAACACCGATTGATGGAATTGGAGTGATTGATTCACACATTACCATACAATACCTTCCTTTAATCTTCTTTTTGATGGATTTTTGGATTTTTTCTCAAACAGAACTCTTTGCCATAATCTTAAGTTTTTGATTTTACATCCATGTGAGCAAAAAGTTGCTAAAGAATTGTCTCTCTTCCTTTCAGTTTTCCAAAGAGGCCCTCGCTGATATGTACTCGGCGTACATCGACAACTTTCTCAACGCCAAGGATGCAGTGAGGATCGCTAAGGAGGCCAAGCCAGCGTTTCACAAGTTTCTGGAGGTGGGTGATGGGCCGAGTCACTGAGTGGTCTGAGCAGCTGTTTTCATTTAAAAAACAAAGTGTTTGTTAACGAGCTTTTCAGCTCTAACTCATATGGATGCAATGAGTTTGACAGCTAACAGCTTTTTGTCAGCAGTATGGATTTAATGTGTATATATTTGCCTTTGAGCAAAGTAATCATTAGTATATGACTTCGGTACAAAAAGAAAAAAAGTTTTGACCAGGCTTTTACTTTTAAAGCTTTTAGTAGAAATGGCTTAGAGTGTGGATGGCACAAAGTTATCCCACAGGCACCCCACGGATAAATAAACAGGAAATGAGGAACAATTCAATCCTGTCCTGTCCTCATGCCTCCCTCACAGTTTGGAAGTGGTGGCTGGTTTTAACAGCGGTGCAACATCACCATCTCTTGGTGGTGCAGTAAAATGCAGTCTGACCTGTTTGTTTTTTTTGTTTCTGTTTTTTGTTTCAACTTCTCACCCTTATCTATAACCATCATCCTCTAACAAAACAGCAAAACATGCGAGAGAACAAGGAGAAGCAAGCTTTGGGGGATCTGATGATTAAGCCGGTGCAGAGAATTCCTCGATATGAGCTGCTGGTTAAGGTGACCAAATTGAGTGCACGACTACCTGCTTTTTGTGTGCTGTGTGCTATCTCTTTAAAAGGGGATTGATGGGTATGTGCTGCTTGTTTTAGGACTTGCTGAAACATACAGCAGAGGACCACCCGGACCATCCCCTCTTACTGGACGCTCAGAGGGACATCAAGCGACTGGCAGAGAAAATCAATAAAGGACGCCGCTCCGCTGAGGAGGCGGAGAGGGAGGCCAGAGTTATCCAGGAGATTGAGGCACACATAGAGGGAGTTGAACATGTGAGACACTTCATTTCAGTCCTCTTTCTTTCTACGGATGCTGGTCTACTTTTCTAAGTGTGCAAAGAGAACAGTGAACTTTCTGCCAGCAGTTGCTTATTTGAGTTTTTTTTTTGTTTTATTTGCTGTTCCATTATAGCACAGCCTCTTAGAGTTATTGTTATGCTATGAAGTAACTTTGAAATTTGTTCTTGTCAGATTCTGAATCCCCAGAGGAAGTTCTTGAGACAGGAAATTGTCATGGAAGCGGTAAGAAGTCATTTGTGATTTGATCAGTCAAATATATACAGTTAATTAAAGTGTACTGTTTTCTAAACAGTCCTGTCTTTCATTCACTGAGGGATTGACTTAAATTTTTGCGGATTACACATAAGTAGGAGAGATTGTCATAAATCCAGGTTTTCTGAGCTGTTCCTCTATCTTTGTAGAAGACAGTGGGTGGGAAAAAGGACCGTTCCCTCTTCCTCTTCAGTGATCTGATCATCTGCACCACTCTAAAGAGGAAGTCTGGCTCACTGAGACGCAGCTCCATGAGTCTGTGTGTACCTCAGCAACACACACAGACACACACCAGAACCACACTGCCGCCTGGTGTTAAACAACAGTCATGCTGATTTTTTTCTCTTCTTCTCTCAGATACTCTGCTGCAAGTGTGATTGATACATCCAGCAAATACAAGTTCTTGTGGAAGCTTCCACTGGAGGATGTGGATGTGGTGAAAAGTAAGGAATATGTGTAATTTGGTGTGTTTCTAAGTATTTATTCATAACGGCTCAATTGGTTCATTATTCATGTCGTAGAAATGTTCCACTGGAAGTATGTAATCAGTTACCTTTGAGTTCTGAAGACTTTACTTCGGTTTTCTCACTGTTTCTCTGTCCACCAGGCCCCACTTTGGCCACAAACAAAGAAAGCATCCAGAAAATGATCAGCCGATTGGACGAGGATCTCAGCACACTGGGTCAGATCAGCAAACTCTCAGAGACCCTCAGTTTTCCACACCAGGTACTGTGGACCAACGCATACAGTTCCCTGTTCATATATCATTACTGGATTTAAGTTGTAGCCCCCCCATCCTTGCTCTTCATGTATCCACTCAGTGATTTTCATAAAAAAAACTTTTCATCTTTTCCCACCTGTCTCAGTCTCTGGATGAAGTCATAAAGGATCTGATGTCATCAGTGCACAAGGAGCTATCAGAGAAGCAGTCTTTGGCTTTCAGCATGACTTTTCTTCCCACAAAGCTGGAACTGATCACAGCCTCCGCCGAAAACAGCTTTGTCTTCGAGTTTAGCTCGCCCGATGCCCGCTCCAGCTTTGAGCAGGTCTTCGAGGAAGCCAAGAAGAAGCTAGGTGAGTGAGGAAACTCTGAATAGGAGACATTAAAAGAAGTTGCATGGTTAAAAACAGATGATAAGGTTTATTTCAGACTTGGGTTAAATGATCCTGATTGAGGTCAAAATGCACATCGAACACTACAATTTGCTATTGTGTGTGATGTGTGTTTAGCTATGAATAAGGACCAGTGGGACCCAGAGTTTCTAAAGGCCATCCCCATCATGAAGACCCGCAGTGGAATGCAGGTGAGTGTTTTTTTTGTCACACAACTCGGATCACCGTTTTGCATATATATATATATATATATTTGAATTATCTTATGGGAAGAAATATATATTAATGATAAAATATGAGATGGATAACTGCATATATCTTTGATTTATCATTAATCGTCTATCGTCCATTGCTTGTGTCCAGTTTTCCTGCGCGTCTCCCAGCCACAGCTGTCCCGACAGTGGCTGTGAGGTCTGGGTGTGCAACAGTGACGGATACGTTGGACAGGTAAGAAGACATTTCATAAGAATATTCAGCCTTTTCAGGTGGAAGGAAAACAACAAGCACACAATGTGAAGGGTCCAAATGACTTTTCTTTCTCAGGTTTGCTTGTTGAACATCAAGGATGAGCCCACGGTGGAGGCGTGCATCGCTGTCTGCTCAGCTAGGATCATTTGTATCGCTGCAGTACCAGGACTCAAGGGAAGGTCAGTTTCTGCTCGCACTATTTATTCATTCACACTTTATCTTTCATTAATAAATCGTCGTGGCACTTGCTTCAGATCCGAGTTAATGTGTCTGTTTTACTGTAATGAAGACATGTTTAGAGCTAACCCTTGCTCTATCCACATGATGACGACGTTAAACGTCTTTATTATCCAAAAACTTTCAGTTTGCCACAGGAGTATTGCAATTGCCGTCTGCTTGTCAGCTAGACCACAAAAACATCACAAAGCTGAATTTTATGTCATTTGGAGAGTTGGAGCACTGCTACTGCTAACCAACCGCTCACCACTCCTCAGGGATCGCGGATCAGAACCTGCCCCTAACTCTGCGGGGACCGCTCACGGCCAGCAGCAGCTTCACATATCCATCTCTCACTCGACGCTGGAGCTCACAGAGCAGCCCACAGGTCAGCTCCTAGCCAAATCGGGCTCACATGCCAATAGTTTAAGGCCCACATTAGATCTGTGACGCATCTGTGTTGGCTGACATGTGGATGGACCCTCTCCAGGCCCGGGAGCTGAGCTTGTTCCGTTCGACAGCGATGACACAGACGATGAAGATTCGCCCAGTCCCTCCTCCACTCTGCAGAGTCAGGCCAGTCACTCCACCATATCATCCAGCTATGGAAGTGAGTAAAAACATCTTTTTTGACGCCGTTTCACCCTTGACTTGCCACTCAAACTACGCTACGTATTATTTCCCCAAAGACGACGAAGGTCCGGGCTCCAAAGACATGGCCACAGAGACCACCAGCAGCGAGGAGGAGCAGGAGTTCTCGGGGACCAGCTCTTACGGAGCCTCTGGGATGTTGGGGGTCGGCGGGGGGAGCCGTGCCCACACGGAAAGCCCCATGGACGGCCGCGCCATGCGGCGGTCCTCTCGGGGATCCTTCACCCGGGCCAGTCTGGAGGACCTGCTCAGTATCGACCCAGAGGCCTATCAGAGCTCTGTGTGGCTGGGCACAGAGGACGGATGGTAAAGCCCACTAAAACCTTGATGTATTATTTTCCATTCCGGTGCTCTAATCCCTCCCCCTTGTATCCTCCTAACAATCTGACTTTCTCCCTTTGTCAGCATCCACGTGTACCAGTCCTCGGACAACATCCGGAACCGAAAGAACAGCATGAAGATGCAGCACTCTGCCTCCATCCTGTGTATTCTGTGAGTGGCCTGTTTTTCCAAACTCTTAGGGTAAAAACAGTAATGCTGAAGTTCATCTTTTCGTACTAAACAAGTTAAATAAAGTAAAGGCACTGTTTACCGTAAAAAATAAACGTAGCCTTTTCTGCTCTGGGTCATATTTCCTTTTTAACACTCTTGGGTTCTCTCCTTTAAGATATTTGGACAACAAAGTCTTTGTGTCGCTAGCAAATGGAGAGGTGATCGTGTATCAGAGAGAAGCAGGTAAGCTGAGCGGACGGGTTTATTATCTCGTCGTTGCTAAATGTCTGGAATATTTAAAATGCACAGATTTTCTTCGCTTTTCAAATCTGTCTCTGTTTGCAGGTAGTTTCTGGGACCCTCAGTCCTCTCAGACGTTAGTTCTGGGCACACCCAGTAGTCCGGTCACCAAAATGGTGCCCGTCGGAGGAAAGCTATGGTGCGGCTCACAGAACAGAGTGCTCATCATCAATACCGCTACGCTGGCACAAGAGGTGAGTGAGAGCTTCGGGAGGAGTGGAAGAGAAAAGCCTTTGGAGCAGCAGGGTGTCTGACGAGGAGGGAAAAGCACGAGTGATTTAATCAATTGATAACCTGCCGTTTCCCTCCCCAGCACTGGTTCCAGGTGGGCACGGACAGCAGCCGCTGCGTGACTTGCATGGTGGCGTACGGTCTGGGGGTGTGGCTGGCGTTGCAGGGCAGCGCTCAGGTCAGACTGTACCACGCTCAGACCTGGGAGAGCCTGACGGAGGTGGACGTGGCGCCCGCTGTGCACAAAATGCTGGCAGGTGAGCGCGGCGAAATGAACTGGGCATCACGGGCGTGTTTTTTGCAGGGTGCGGTCAGGTTTCAGGTTTTGTTTTCAACTCATCGTCACCTCTTTCTCTTCTCCGTTCAGGTGCAGACGCAATCATCAGACAGCACAAAGCCGCGTGTCTCAGAATCACAGCTTTGCTGGCCTGCAAGGACCTGCTGTGGATCGGCACCAGTGCGGGTATGGGCACATTACTTACCGACCCACCGAGAATCTAACCAAACGTTGGCCAACAGTGAATGAAAACAAATGCAACCAAAAGCGAAAAACAACCACGACAAATAAAAGAAAGATAATGTGCCGCTTTCTGGTTGAAAATGAGAACTTATTGTGACTGTTCTTCACCCCAGGGGTGGTCCTTACGCTGGTCATCCCTTCGGTGAGCTCAGGAACTGGAGCTGGGACAATCAAGGCTCCTCTGGCGCCAATGGGTTCGGCTCACGGGCACACGGGCCACGTCCGGTTCCTGACCTCCATCGAACTACCCGAAGGATTTGACATGAAAATCCCTCCGGCCACGACCGACTCCTCAGGTATTTACCGCTTCTCTTCGTCTTTCAGGTGCACGAGGGCTGACTCCACATCTGCTGCGACTGAATTAGTGTCCCCTTTGCCTCTCCGTTCCTCCAGGCAATCAGCCGCAGAGCAGCAGCACATTTGAGGGCGGCCTTCAGAGGCGTGACTCCACGCATCGCAGAGCCTCTTCCCATATCCCGCCCAAAAAAACCAACCACCTCGTTATTTCCGGCGGCGATGGCTACGAGGACTTCAGACTGACGAACAGCAGCGAAACTATTGGACGAGACGACAGCACAAACCACCTTTTGCTTTGGAGGGTTTGAGACTGTCGAGCGCTCGGCTTAGCTAAACCTCCCTTCTAGCAGAGATAAGCACGCAACCTGCTCCCCTTTGACCGGATCAGACCACCTTCGGGTTTCGGTGTTGTCGTTTTGCTCCGCCTGCTTGGCCCGGCAGTCTCTATGTGCACATGGCGGCAGCCATCTCCCTCCAGGACTTACCGATGAATATGGCCGCGTCAGACCCCAGTTTTGTTGCGTTAAATGTTTCTGGTGGTGTGCATGTCGGTGCATGTGTGCTGTTTTTCAAATTGGAAAATCTGTGATTACGGTCTTAAAAAATCCGTCTTAAAGCTCGACTTTGTGCAAATAGAAACAGAGAAAGGGACCTGTTAGTTTGCCACAGATCGCCGATATTTGGACTGACAAAGGATAAAGAAGACATGGAAATAGACTCTGCACAGGAATATGGAGAACGTTCCAATGAACGTAATGACATTAACAAATGTTGCATGTACTTTTAAATCCTGTTGTTGTAGTTTTTTTTTAATCCACTCCATCATCACTTAATCTTCACTTAAACCTTAAGACAAAAAAACCTCCTGATGATCAGAGATAAATGCATGAATGCCAACACAGTCAGTAGTTTAAAGTAAAAAAACTTAGATTTTTGTTTGCGTTTTTTTTTTGTCCACGAGCTAAAACTACACAGATTTGGACAACCATATCTGAGATCGGATCTTTCTGGCTCTACTTGTGAGGTGATCTGTGACAGCAATGCACACACGCAGCGCACAGCCTCACTAGAGGAGTCAAATGGGCACGTTTCCTTCAAATAATCCTGTTATATTACCTTTTTTCCCTTTAGTTTTACATCTAGTTGAAGAAGTAAGTAATGGAGATGAGGTATTGTCCCAATACTGGCTGGGAAAAAAGTGCTTTGGAGACATTCCTCCTCAAAATGACCATGCCAAAGCTTTCTTTTTGTTTTTGTAAAATTTCAGCTTGTTTAGCGTTCTGTCATGTTGGACGGGTGTTCTTCAAAGATGACGTTAAGCTGTGGTAGCAGATAAAGATAGAAATGTACAGTATTTATGGTTTTTATTTTAGCGCCTTCTTTTATAGCACTTAATTTATAGAAGATGTAGCTCTCACTTTTCTTCCTGTACTGATGAGCACAGAGGTCCTGGCTTGATTTTGAGATTAGATTAAAAAAAGTAGAGCTGTCCTTGGGCAGGCACACATGCACACGAGGGGTGTAAGGATGCAGTTCCCTTGAGGTTTGGTACGATTCGTGTTACAGGGTTCTTGTTTTTTGGTCCAAAAATGATGAGAGACGGAATCGAACTTGCTGAATGTCGCTGCAGATCAGTTCTATCAGTCCCCCACATGTTGTATCCAAAAACCAGGTTGGATTAACTAAGAACGCAACCCTTGTGTTGCCTCTATGAGTGCCAAAGGCTTCAGAAAGACCTGCTTCATATTTGACTTACTTTTTTACGCCGCTGTATGTGTGCTGCCGTTTCTGTTACAGAAAACATAACATGAAGATGTATTTTTACAACCTCAAAGCACAAAAATAAAAAGTTGTGTTGTGATTGTTTAAGAAGTGGCACGTATTTAGTAAGGAAAGGGCTCTAGAAAGGTAAGAAGGAGAAATGCTTAGTAAGTGCACGTGCCTTCAGAAGGCTAAAAGTTAAGCCATTTGACACACACACACATAGTGAAAAGTCGGGTGTCCGTGGTTACACAGCAGATGTCCATGAAAGTGAAGGATGACCGATATGTCCCTGTGCACACACACTCACACAGGAGTTGGCCTCAGACTTTGAGGGTTAAGCGGTGATTGTCTTTGATCCCTCCAAGCCTAAAAAGACCTTATTACACTTTACCTGCCATCTGGGCTCTTTACCTTTGCATTCCCTCTTCCACAAGCATGCAAATAAGGGTCCATCTCCCACTGTGATGGTTAAGAAGATTAACAGGCTCTTGTGATGGCTGTTAACCAGCTTGTGAGGATCTGTAAGTGTAGAGGTGGAAAGGCAGGAGACTCCTCTGTAAGTGCTCTGCTATTCAGTTGAAAAGTTGCTTTTTTCCCCCATTGTTTTCTGTCCACACATAAAGCAAAAAAAAAAAAATCCAGTCGTAGCATCTGAGGGATGCAAATAAAAACATTAGAAATTACTTGTTCAACAACTGGGGATTTTTTAGTGTTTTTTTGGGGGGGTGAAAAGACATAAATTCCCCAACTCTGAATGTTAAATATTAAGTAATATCAAAATCTGATTTACTCTAAAGTAGGCGTCGAATTGATAAGACATTTTGCTTAAAGTGTTTCTCAAATGATGTGGGTTGGGGGGGTATTTGAGCTAACGTTACTGTAGCTCAACTTTACCAGAATGAAACAGTGTCACTGGTTACTCACCAGGAAACTTGCCCCGAAACAACTCATGGAGAATCATGTCACCCTAATATGGCTGATTTTCTTGCGTGTGTGGCTTTTTTTTTTTTTGGCTTTGTTTTTTCAAATCTGCAACTCGTGTTCACTGTTTTTGGAGCTGCCATGTTAGTTTGTGACATCGCTGTATACCTGTGTTGGTTGTAGAGTCGGTTCATTTGTGAGCCATACAACGTCTGCTGTCCTTGCTGACTTATTTTACTGCCAGAGTCTGAATCTGGGGAGCTTGGCAAAAGAGAGTTAGTCACTTTCGGTCGATACTGCAATGCGGTGGCATCGCTATCTTACAGTTGAATGGACTTATAAAGTCAGTTTTCCATTGTGCGGTCACACAAACAGAAATGACTCTTTAAGCAAAGGCAATTAAGGTTTTGAACCAAATTGCATGAAACAGAACTAACTGCCACTTTTTTAGCTTACTCTAAATACTTGATATGAAGTAGAAATAATTTCCACACAAATTTGATTAAGAAAAAAAAGCACATTGTGTAATGCTCAACCCCGTCACAACCGAACTGTAAGACTCATGACATGTACGTAATTTCCTCATGCCCATATGTGAACTAAGTCGTATTTTTGTAAATATTGGTACATACTGCCTCTTTTCTGTAAATAGTGCACCACAGTCCTCAATTGTTGATATGAATCTAATGGCATATTTTTATATATTTGTGTAAGGTTTGTTTTCCCTCTCCAGCATGCACTGTCAGCCACGCTTAAGTTATAAATGTCACAGATCTTTCAAAAAGAAGTGTGGTCCTTGTTAACTCAAGACTGACAAGGATTTGTTGTTCATGTTGTCCCTCTTCGCTCCCGAGTATTGCTTTGCTGCTGACATCCACAGGAAGGAAAAAAAAGAAAGTCAGTTTTTGCATTGCCAACTTTCTTCTTATCTTCGACTATAGATGACTTCTTATAGCTGAAATGGTTGCGGTCTACCAGAGTTACCTCCTGTATGTAGCTGTTATGTTTTTGTCACTGTGGGTTCCTCTTTGTAATTAAATCAGTTCACTGGTGCCACTGTGTGCTTGCTCCCTAAACTCACAAAATCAGCAACATGGTAAAAAAACAACTTTTGAACATGTTGGGCAAATTATGACATATGTGTATATTAATTCTCTAGGTGTGTCAATCCATTATTTTCTTTTATTTATGACTCACAGCGCTTTCCAAAAAGAGCGGGTCAGACTGTACTCTGAGGTTATTTACAAAAGCCCAACAATTCCCAACAAAAGCAAGCACTAGGCGACACATGCAAGGAAAAACTTCATCTTAAGAGGCAGAAACCTTGAGCAGAACCAAGGAGACTCCCAACCACAGATCCAGACTCCACCGCTCCAGAGCCAGGAACACCTGCAGGAAGTGATAGGAGGAGACTCCCAACCCCAGATCCAGACTGGGGTTGGGAGTTGCAGTTGCATTTAAAGTGGTGTCCAGACGGCTTTGAAAAAACAAGTTGCGAACAGCCGCACCGTCTCTCTCTAAGTCCTTTTTCGTAATTTTAATTGCAGGTGTGGATACCAAAATGTCCAGCACACGTTAGTAATGCAGCTTTTTTTCCTGTAATCCCACAGCTTCCACTCCGAGTTCAACAATGGCCTCCGGCAGAAAGTGTCTTAACAACGTTAGCTTTGTGGCTTTGCTTTCAGCATGACTCACCAATTTATCTGACTTTAACCCACTGACCTACAATGAGTTGAATTGTGATACGATAGTCCAGCAGAGTGTAAGTGAATGCATGCCATTCACAGCACACACAAATACGAACGTGGCCCTTCGCCTATGAAGACTAACACATCCAGTCAGTGTTCAGATGCAGTGAACAGTGAAGATCTGTGTGATGACAGCGAGAGGCAGAAAAAGCAGCAGCACAAAGATTAATCTGTCTCAGAATGTCTGATGCTGTGAATCATTGACTGATCATCACTGACTTGAGGGCTCAGCCCAGCAGAAAAGATGGTGGAAATTTCCTTCATTCTTATATTTCACATCTCATACCGTCAACATTTTGAGGGTGGCCATGAGGAACTTTTTTTTTTTTTTAAACTTTGTATAAGACACACAGTTACTGTTTTTATTATAAAATATGCACAGACCACGTCCATCCTTTGGTTTTCTGTACCGCTTAATCCCAGTGGCGTCGCCGGTGGCTGGAGCCTCTCCCAGCTGACAAGGGGTGAGAGGGGGACACCCTGGGCCGGATGCCAGTCCATGGACTACCTAGTTTTGTTGATTCTCGATTACTTAAACTTTACATTTATACTGCAGTGATGTGTATTGATCACCAGAAATAGTGCAACATCGAGATTGGGGTGCTCTGAACAATAAAAGGTGTGGAAAACTTTAAAGAGGACAGTTCCATGCCAAGGGCTCCAACATTTATAAGAGGGACTGTTGAGTTGAGTTCAAGTTTGTTTTGGTCTGAGTAAAGTAATAATTACAGTGCGTTAACGAGTACTAAACTATTCAGGGGTGCCGTAATTGGACGAGTCGACGTCATCATCCGCCCGCCGGCCTGTGACCCGCGGCCACCTGCCTGGAGGAGATCACGACCGACAGAGGGGGTTTACGTTAGCCCGGGCTCACA